CTCTGATACCACTTGTTGAGAAAATTAGGGCGAAGAAAACAGTAACGACACCAATCCAGAAGAATACAGAGATTTAACGAGGTTCGGCAAAGATGCCTACGTCCTCGGGAGCAGAGCGGCGAGTTCCTTTCAATAATCAGAAAAGAGGTTACAGAATTCAAGGATACCTCCTGGGGTTACTAACAGGCCTATTTATAACCCCAGGAGTAAACCTAGGCACAATATGTAATTACAACATTACCCCTGTACCAAACTGCGGGGTTTTGCCCCCCGCACCCCAACCCACGTAACTTCCCAATTTGGACAGATTCTTCCGCTCCGCTCTGCTCCGCTTCGATCCAGCGTCTGTCCCGATATGGTATATGAGCCATACCATAACAAGAACAACACAAATCTTTCGTATTTAGATATGAAACACCAAAAGTTTAATGTTTACATTTATACAATTCAAATCTTTCATATCCACATCCACGCGGAGCAGTACAAACAAAAATTTAATCGGAAGAACACATCTCCAAAGAGTTTGAATTTTGAAAACGATCAAAGGAACTCAATGGAAACAGAGAATGTCAGACAGAGCGGAAGTAAATTAAGAAAAAAAAATCTGCAGAAGAAACAGAATTAAGAGGGAATGATGGCAGTACCTAAAGCGATCAGAAATCCCAATGTTGCCGGATAAGCAACAGCTCTTGGTTTCTTTCGCCTTCGTCACCGTCCCCTTCTTCCTATTGCTCTCTTTATATAGACCTCTTATCTGTCTCTTAAATCCGATTCCTACGAAGCCTCAGCCCCTCGCGTCGCCATGGCCGCTCTTCTCTCCCATTTCTGTTCTTCTGTTCCATTAAGAGCAATCAAATAAAAGCACGTGATGTCTGACCCTGTCTGTGGTGAACCGGACAACCGGCATATATACATGGAGCTTTTACATAACACCACCAAACTTTTATATATCCACATATCAACCATCTAAACTTCTATATACCACTCAAATTAATTTTTTGTCGACATATTAAAAATATCACTGTTATTTAACCTTGTCTTATAACTCCAAAGTGTTATAAACATAACTATCCAATACATAAGAATTATGTGGTATGTGTGTAAATTATAAATTATATATTTGTCTTTCAATATCTTAACTATATATATATATATAATATATATAGTTAAGATATTGAAAGACAAATATATTAATATTATTTTACCAATTAGGACTCGAGCTAATACACAGAGAAGGTTGACACAGATGCCATCATTATTACATAAGAAATACAATAAGTCCTTATTCCTCAGATTCTCTGCTCAATCATTAAAACTCTAAAGACGGACCGATCATGCTACCGACCTCGTCAATGGCGGCTTCCTAACCTTGGTCGCCTGCTCGAAAGCGTAAGCTATTTCGATGAGCTTCGGTTCGAAACCTTTAGATCCGCCGAAGCAGATGCCGAATGGAACGCCCTGGTTTGTATAACCAGCAGGGACAACAATTCCTGGGTAGCCACCGATGGACAAGATCGAAGCCGCTAGGCTGTTCGGAGTTACGAAGCCATCGAGCTTGTTCTCCCTCATTAACTTCTCTAATCCATTAGCAGAATACTCGGCCAATCTCTTCAGAATCTTTTTCTCCACTTTACCCAATCCGTTTGTCTTTTGGGCGGCCAAGAAGATATCCTGACCATACTCCGGTATCTTTTCCTGCATTCAATAGGCCAAAACTGAATCATAGCTTGGTATGTGATTTCACTTTTTTTAGAAAGTTAGCTATAAAGATATGCTTAGTAGTAAAGTTGAATTCAAGCAAGTTTGGAGAACATATAGAACAAATGGGGAAGTGTTTACTTCAGCACTGTGTTTGTTGTTGAAGTCTATGGCGTCTGCAAGGGATCTAATTGGGGAGACTTTAAGTTCTGAGAGGTAGGCGTTGATTGAGAGCTTAAACTCAGCATGGAGAGCCGTTTTCTCCCCACTTTTGAGCATGTCCACTATAATGCTTGCATTCGCAATTTCCAAATCATCCCAATTTCCAAATCATCCAAATTTCCAAATCATCCAACAAAATTGCTCCTTTTTCCCTGTAATCATCAGCTTACTTTAGTTGATTTCAAGGAGAAAAATAAGATTTACACACCTAAGATTCAGTTTCAATGTATTTAAATATCCACACTTAAAACTTCAATTTTTACCTGCATGACGCCTTGCCTATGCATAGAAAAGAGTATTTCACTTATAAGTTAAAGTTGTGGTTTTTTTTTTAATGTGATATGAAAAACATGGGAGGTTCTGCACTCAAATGATACTAAATAGGCTTTCATGTATATTTTGATATGGAAGCCGGTACGTATTACTGAGCCCACATGCCGAAGTGGTTGAATTTAGTCCACCCACCGAAATAGCTGAATTTGTCTCTTACACCCATGAGGGGAGGTCTAGCCCAACCTTGGGAGAGAAAGCTAATGGATATAGTCATCAATACCAACAAGGAGGCAAATCCATCCATCTTTAAAAGCGTTGCCTGATACCTACGTCATAATAGACTTTTCATCAACACACCATGGATGAGAGTCAAATAGTACTAAATTTATTTTTTATTATTTTCCCTTCTTGTATAAAAGGAAAGTCAAGCTAAGAGAAAATTGATTTGAATATCCCGATGTACACTCCCCCTCAAAAAGTCTTTCTTTGTTTTTGGATGATCCCTATCACTCCAAGTAATCTTTTAACACGACAAACCTCCGAGGAGCCATATTTTTCAACTTATCGTATTCTCAAGCTCAAAATATAATCTCTAAGACATCTTTTTGAGTCGTACATTCACCTCACTCTTCTACATTTTGTTTACAGAAACAAGATCTTTACCGGTTTTATCTACTCATGAGGGATACGGGGCCCCACGCATGTATAAATATAAAATACTAAATTTAGATGTTAGAAATGTTAATACATAGGAATTGCGTGGTGAGTATGTAAAAGCATGCCCCAATAGAAAAATGATTAAAAAAAGATGAAAACATAAAGATACATAAGAATTGAATATAAGTTCACCCTGTGGTTGTCACTGATTTTACTATAATTTCATGGTGGGGAAAGTACAACCACAAAACCTATGAGCAACCGCAAGGCCGAGTCATGCCAAGCTTGAGCTCGAGTTAGCTTGTTAACTTTTCTTTCCACATATATAACATCCAAAAGTTTCATATCACATTAAAAAAACCACTGCTTTAACTGTTAGAAAGTATTATATATCTTTTTATACATAATTAAGATGACATATATATATATATATGTATATATATATATATGTATATATATATATATGTATATATATATATATTAGACCTTTGTGTTTTAGACGTATATATATATATGTAGAAAATTAAAATTTAAATGTTAGACTGTATATATAAATACAATTGAATTGAATGGTATATATGTAAATCTTCCAAACAAGAAACCACCTTAAAGATCAAAATTTGTATCTTTGTTTAAATGCCCCCTACTTCTGACCAATTGCATCTATTAATTTTAATGATCAGCCTTTTCATTCTAACATAAAATTGATCATTTTCACAACAGTAACAATCAAATGGAGAGTTTTAACCCCAACACTAAACTTCTAAGGTTTGTGACCCAATATAAATATGCATTTAATTTTCTAATATATGAATTTAGATTTTTACATTTATACCACTCAAATCTTTCATTAAAACGAATTATTTTAACTTTTAAAAACAGAAATACATGTTTTCATACATAGCTAAAATGTCAAATATGTAAAAACAGAATTTGTAAGTACATAACACTTGACTGGTTTTTATATGAAAATCTTAATAAAAATGGGAGTTCAAGAACTGCCGGTATCCGCCCTCCGGCACGAACCTCGCCGCCGCCGCCGCCGTCGCCTCCGAGTCCCGCCGCCGCCGCCGCCGTCGACTCCGAGTCCCTCTCGTCGTACCCAACGATCGCGTCCAGCACAGCCACCGCATCTGCCACCGTCCGGCAGATGGGTCCCACAGTGTCCTGTCTGAGCGAAACAGGTACCACTCCCGCCCTACTGCCTTATCCCCACCACCGAGTTCGCCGCCGACGGGCAGAGGATAGACCCCGCCGTATCAGTCCCCAGCGTCGCCGCCGCCATCCCTACTGCCGCCGCGATAGCAGAGCCGGTGCTCGAACCACATGGATCCGCCTCCGGTTCGTAAGGGTTTCGCGGCTGCCCTCCGCGAGGGCTCCACCCGTTGGGAGCCGAAAAGGTCCGAAAGTAAGCCCACTCGCTCATGCTTGCCTTGCCTAGAATAATGGCCCCGGCCTCGCGGAGGCGGCGGACAACTCCGGCGTCGCGGGGGACGACGGAACCAATTAGTGCAAGGGAGGCAGCTGTGGTGTTGAGCCGGTCGCGGGTGGCGATGCTGTCCTTGAGAAGGATAGGGATGCCATGGAGCCCACCGCGGGGGCGGCCGCCGGATCGGCGCTGCAGGTCTGCGCGATCTGCGTCGCAGAGGGCATCGGGATTGACCTCGATGACGGCGTGTAGGTCGGGATTGAGAGATTGTATTCTGCTCAGGTAGTATTCGACGAGCTGCCTGGAGGTTAGGCGGCCGTCGTTGAAATAAGCTTGGATGTCTGCAATGGTAGCTTCGGCGTAGTCTAAGTTGGTGGCGCCGGCTGAAAGGATGAGGAAGGAGAAACATAAAGCGGGAAGGAGGAGAGCCATTAATGCTCCAAGGGATAGCTTCTTTTATTTTTCCCTTTGGAAAATAATGTATTTATACAAGTAATACGTGTATAGTATACAGTAGAAAATTATACTGGACAACCATTGTTCACACTTGTAATGACTTGTTGTTTATATTTTTATTAATATATTTGTGTGCGTAATAGAGTTGTAATTGAATGGAGCCAAGTATATCATTGTATGATTATAAGCTGTTCATATTTACTAATCTGAAGAAACAAGATCTATTCTTAATCAAATCGAGTTCCAATTGTTCGTCGATTGTATTGGTTCATTTAGAGCCTTATATTTGAATATATATACCTTTGTTGAGTCATTTTGGGATCTCATCTCTCTTGTTTTCACCAATTTACATGACCCAAGTGAGACCATTGTGAGGAAGGTGCAAAAAAAAGATGGGTGTGTTGTATATTTTTAGGATCTAATGATTAGAGGAGAGAGGATGATTTAGTGAAAAGGTAAGGGAAAGACAAGCTCCTTAATGGTCACTATGCAGGATCCCCTGAGAGTAGATCCTCCCTCTTATATACATTCAAGTAAATATTAAAATACAAGTCATAATTTGTTGAGAAAATATCTTATATACATTCAAGTAAATATTAAAATACAAGTTATAATTCATATCATACAAAATCATTCAATGGAGGTGTATTTCAGACAAATTATAAAATGAAGATAGAGCATCTATACATCCCTGTCGTTGATCTTCTATTTTATGTTACGACAGTTCCGAGAATTATGAGTAGGCGAGCTAGGTTGGTCAATTAGCCATTTCATCAAAAGAAATAGTTGACCAGATCAACGAGCCAGTACACCAAGTTAGCCATACAGTTCAGCTTGGCAACGAGAGTAAGACTTGACACATCGACAATAGGGTTGGCACTAGCAAGTCACTTCAACGCCAGTCTCGTCTCCTAGATTATTTGGCTAAATAGGCCAATGAGTCCTGACAGACAAGAGTGGCCCATATAGGCTGATTTTCTTATATATAATATTTCTATTTTGTAATTATATTTGTTATCTCATAACATATCTTCAAAGTTTCACACGAATCAACTGCACCGTTTCCTCCATTACAATTTATAACAAAAAATTTTTAGACGGAATAGTTTTCTACTCTTCCGCCTAAAAAAAATTTATTATGTTGAGAAGATGTTTTAGATTAGAGAAGTCGTCTTAGATGATTTGATCACATTAAACGTCGATCATCTGATGATTCAATTAACAGAGTAGATGTTTTAGATTCGACTTGTGTTAAGAAAGACAGAGATACACCTAGGAAGACTTGGGCTTATTGTATGAAAAATGATCTTAATTTACTAAAATTAAATGAAAATATGACACTAAATAGGATGCATTGGAGAAAAAGGATTCATGTAGCCGACCCCACGTAGTGGGATTAAGGCATTGTTGTTGTTGTTGTTGTTGTTGAAGAGTTTTCTAAACTCTAAGGTCATTATTGTAAGACAAATTAGATTTTCTCTGATACCACTTGTTGAGAAAATTACGGCGAAGAAAAGCAGTAACGACACAAATATAGAAGAACACGGAGAATTAACGAGGTTCGACAAAGATGCCTACGTCATCGGGAGCAGAGTGACGGCTTTTCACTAATTTAGAAAAAGTACATAATTCAGGGATTCATGGATAATCCCTAGGGTTACATACAGCCTAATTTATAACCCTATAAAACACATAAAAATGAAACATTTGGTACAATATGCAATTATCAAATTACCCCTGTACCGCACCCCCAACTCACATAAGAAAATTTTGCGAATTTAGACAGAATCTTTAGCTCTGCACCGCTCCTGATTTAGCACTGTCCATTTATGATATATGAGTCATATCTAACAAAAACATATCTTCAAAGTTTCACACGAATCAACTCCACGGTTTCCTCCATTGCAATCTATAATAAGATTTTTTTTAGACAGAAGAGTTTTCCAAACTCGAAGGTCATTATTGTAAGACAGATTAGATTTTATCTTTTTTTAATAATATCAAAAAA